ATCGAACATTCGGAGAGCCGCGCCGCACCAGCAGCAGCATCTGCACCACCAGCAGCAGCAGCAGCAGCACCACCACCACGCAGAGAGAGAAGCGCACCTGCCCGACGCCGCCCGCCGGGTCAGATGCTCGCGACGCGCGCGTCGAGCCCAGTCGCAGTTCCGCGCCGCGCCAGCAGCAGCATCTGCACCAGCAGCATCACCATCACCACCACCAGCAGCACCAGAGAGAGACAGTGCAGGGTGATAGCAGCGCAGAAGCGCTCGCAGAGCGGCACGCAGCGCCGCGCACGCCACGCCGCGGTCGGTCGGACGAGCGCAGCGTACGTCGGCGGCGAGCCGCGTCGCCAGCCGTCTCGTGAGAGAGCGGCGCCGCCGCGTGCGCGCAGCAGCCGCCGCGGCAGAGACGAAGCCGCGGCGACGGCCGCACAACTGGTAACTGCCATTGGCGGTTTTTTTTTCACACACACACACACACACACTCATTGGGTGCACGCTCCGGGAGGCTGCCGGGTCGGATCGGCCTTTCGGGCGCCGCCGCAGCGCCGCGGAGGCACTATTCTGGCGAGAATATGCGCCAGTGAGCGCGACTTGTGCAAAGTGCAGAGTGCAAGCAAGGTTGCGCACGCCCAGGTAGGTAGGTAGGTAGAAAGATGAACAACAGTCAGGCCAGGCCAGCCGGTACTCGAGTAAAGAGAATCTTACAACAAAAGAGAAAACAGCGCGCGCCTGCAAGCGATCGACGTCATCGATGCGCCGCTCTCCGGGCTCGAGCCGGGAGCCGCGGCTGACGACGAGCACCGCCGTGCTGGCGGTCGCATCGGCGCTCATCCTGCTGATGCTCAGTTTCAACGCCCGGCTCTACTTCTCCGCGGCGTGCGACCAGCGGCTGCAGCAGCTCGCCGACGAGAAGGACCGCGAGCTGCAGCGCGTAATGGACCAGCTGCAAAAGTCGCTCGACCAGCAGGCGCGGATGCTCCAGAAGCTCAGCAGCGCACGCGGCCAAAAGGGGCGCGCCGACCTCCTCCTGCCGGAGCCGGCGGCGGCGGCGGCGGGCTCCGCGGCGGCGGCGGCCGACCCGGGGGCGGCGCGGCCTCCAAAGCTGGCGCGGCGCGACCTGGTGGCGTACGTGGACTGGACGCCGGGCGCGCTGACGCCGCCTCGCATCGCCGTCCTGGTCATCGCGTACAACCGCGCCTCCTACCTCGACCGCGCGCTCGGCTCGGTGATGTTGAGGCATCCGGGCGGCGCGAACTGGCCAGTGTACGTGTCGCAGGACGGGGAGAACGACGAGGTCGCGCGAGTCATCGCCAAGCACGGGGCGCGGCGGCTGGTCCACCCGCGCCGGCAGCTCGACCTGTCGCGCGCCGAGAAGTTTCTGAAAAAGGCGCCGGGGTACGCGTACCTGTCGGTACACTACGGGTGGGCGCTGCGCACGCTGTTCGCCGACGCGGCGCGCTACGAGGGGGTGATCATTCTCGAGGAGGACATCGAGGTTGCGCCCGACTTTTTCGACTACTTCAACGCCACCGCGCCCCTCCTCTACCAGGACGACAACCCTCGCCGCTATCAGCCGTTGATTCTTCACCGTTAGTATCATAACTCGTTGGCTGATGACGAATAGGACGACACCCTCCTCGCCGTCTCCGCCTTCAACGACAACGGCCAGCCGCGCTACTCCTCCGACACGTCCGCCCTCTACCGCTCCGATTTCTTCCCCGGCCTCGGCTGGCTGCTCACACGGCGGCTGTGGGCCGAGATTGGCGCCGGCTGGCCTGAGGAGCGCGGCTTCTGGGACGACTGGATGCGAGAGCCGCCGCAGCGGCAGGGCCGCGCGTCGATACGGCCCGAGACGAGCCGCTCGCGCACGTTTGGGCAGAAGGGGACGTCTCTCTCCCAGTTCTACATCAAGTTTCTGGCGCCCATCCAGTTCTCCGACCAGGCCGCCCCCGCCTGGGCCGGCCGCAATCTCAGCTTTCTGCTCAAGGCCGCGTACGACCCTCCGTTTGCCGCGCGGGTCGCCGCGGCGCGCGAGGTGGAGCTGCGCAGAGTCATCGACCGCTCCTTCACCGCGAGCGGCGGAGGCGACGTGGTGGTGCGCTACTCGACGCCAAAGGTGCTGCTGGGCTTCTGCAAGCAGCTGGGCATCATGGAGGACCTCAAGGCGGGCGTGCCGCGCACCGCCTACCACGGCGTCATACCGCTGCGCGTGGGTGGCGTCATGGTCTTCCTGGCGCCGTCTTTTGCCGTGGACCAGGACATCACCCAGCGCAAGCCGCCATAGCGGCGGGGGCCTGTATCGTTTTTTATTATCATGAACAGGTAAGGTAAGGTAAGGTAAATTTCTCCACACACACAAAGTGGTGGGGCAGGGGGCCGACCCTCGCGCATCTCCACACCCGGACACGGGCAGGAGCCCCACGCGCCATTGGAACCATCCGCACGAGCGTTGATCAAAATTCGTTGATATCTCCGCAGCGAGTGGCACCTGCTTTCCGCTGTCCGCACAGCCGCTCCGCACCTCTCTCAAAAATGCTGCGCCATCTTGGGGGTAGCTAAAAAGCCATATTCCCCCCCGGCTCTTTCGTATTCTCTCATCATGATCCAACCACCCACCTTCCCGCCGCCGCGGCCGCCGCGCCCGTGCCCGTCGCCGCAGCGATGGCGAGGCTGGGCCCGCGAACGCCGATCGACGCGATATCGCTCAGGAAGCCGCCAGCGCCAGCGCCAGCACCACCTGCACCTCCAGTTCCAGTGGCTTGATACTTGCCGGCGGCGGCCGGCGGCCACTGGCCCACCTCCTCGAGCGCGAGAATCTGCTTCGCGGTCGCGTACAGCTCGTCGTCGACGTGCCTACGGCTCCTCACGATCGACTCGACGCGTTCGAGGTCGCGCTCCGGCTTGACGCCCTTGCGCATCACTTTGAAGTCGCTCTCGATGAGCGGCGTCTTCGACATCGCGGCAAAGGCCTTGAGCGTCCGCTCGTATTCGTCCGTAATGCCGACGAAGGCGAAGCGGCGCAGGGTCTCGTTGGCGGCCTTGACCAAACGCCACGACGACGCGAGCGCGGCTTGGTCGACGCCGCGGTTGCGCATCGGCACCGAGCAGAGGCGGCCGGTGGTCATCCGCACCGAGCAAGCGCTCACGCAGTCAGCATACGTCTTGACGTCGTCGTCGGTGAAGCTCTTGTAAAAGGGCGAGGTGCCCGCGCGCGGCCGGTTGCCGGTCATGTTGTAGCGGGCCTGCATCCAGCGGCACGAGTGCAGGTTGTGGAAGAAACCCGAGACCGCGCGTTGCCACGGCTCGCGCAACAACGTGACGGCCATCATGCCCGGTCGCAGCGAGCGCAGCGACTTGTGGCCCCAATCAAATTGAACAAAGGTCTTTGGACAATGGTCGGCGATGAGACATTGCACTTGGACGACCTCGAGGAACGGCTTCGGCGTCTGGAGCCGGCACGCGGCGCGGAAGAGCACGTTGGCGAAGCCGGACGAAGTCTTCGGGACGTGCAGCCAAGCGACCCGCGTGAAGACTGGCGGTGGCAGATTTGACAGCTGCGTGAAATCGTTGGGGCACTTTTTCTTCGGTTTCTCTTGCTGCGCCTTAAATTTGGCCAGCGCAGAGGAGAATTTCGCTGCTCATTGCTGCAGCCGACGACGGCTTGCATCTCGCTCACGCACGCCGCGCCAATTTAATAGCTCGCTCTGTCTCGAGGTTCTCGAGGTTCTCTCGAGGTTCTCGAGGTTCTCGAGGTGGATATCCTTTGGCCGCGTTGGGTAGCGAGGATTGGTGTAACCCGAGCCACGGAGGCGTGTTTTCTGACGGCCGACCGTCAGTGCACGGAGTTGCCCCTTCTCCGACTGCCCCGGCTAGTTCACGGGTTTCGCGGGAGTGACACCCTATGATGTAACTTATTCGGACCCCCCCCTGGGCGGCTCGTGTTTTTCGTGCCAAACCAGCGCGATCTCGGCGGGGCGTCAGCGCCTCTCGGAGGGGCATCATGCGCTCCCGGGGCCGCCCGACGGCGCGGGCCTCTTGCTGATGGACCCAGCCGAGGTGCCCAACCAGTCGGAGTGGCGCTGACGCGCTGCGCGCGACCACCAGCCAGCTTTTCAGCGAGGCCGAGCACGGTGCGCCGAAAGAGTAGACACTCAAAACAGTTGCCGAGTTTTTTCCCTCTTTTTGAGCGCCGCTGCTGCACACCCAGCCCACCAGTGATACTAGACGCACCA